TTCTTCACCAACACTGATATAGGAGTGATTTCGAGCTAAAACACAAAACAATCAATCCAACATGGCATATCAAAGTGCTTTGGGAGGAATTTTCATATATGTTTTTAATTAAACAGTTATAATAAACAAGTAGGGTAGAAAATCAAGCAAGGAGCAGCAATAAAAAAATATTTTGAAAAAACTGCAGCACTGCAGCCAAAATTGCTCACAACTTGGGTTCAATCCCAGGTAGCCAGCTCAAGGTTTACTCAGACTTCAATTATTCTAAGGTTGGTAAATTGAGTACCCAGGTTGCCAGGAGGTGGGCAGGCAATGTGTAACTTGCATAAAAAATTTGTAAACTGGCCAGAGAATTAATTGGTTTTCAATGCATTGTAGGTCAATGGAGACTCGACCTACAGACTTTTTGACCTGCAGCCACCGTTTCAATACGGATTAATTCCGTAAGTAGAGGGTCCACTGTAACTTGCATAACTAATTTGTAAACTGGCCAGAGAGCGCTTTAAATGCTGTGCGGCGGTATATAAACGGCACACTATGCTTTGAAAAAATTAATTGCTAAAGCTCTGCTGAAGGCAATGAAAACACAAATTGCACAGATTTCCTGTAATAAATCTCAAAATACCCAATAATTAACCTTCTGAAAATTGATAACTCCATTTTGCAATACAATAGATTTGGCGTCTTCAGCCTTTTGCTTGCATTGTTTTGCCTACTGCTCAGTTTATATTGGCAATTAAGTTTATTATTGATAATTGCAGAGGTGTTTGATCTTGGGTCATCTAGAAAAAAAATCAGTGGACTATTGTGTTCAAACACAATAAGTAACAAAGGCTCACATTTATATACAACCAACCCCTTTGTTGTTCTTCCTCAAAAGTCTTTGAGCTGAGGGTGCTTAGTATGGAAGCATTTTAAGAAGTAGCTTGCAAACATGGCCCCACCATTTAAATGTGAATCTTGCCATGTGGGTCAAAAGAGACTCCAGGAAGATTTAACCATTTGTCCCCAACTATGGTTCTACTCTATCTTCTATACCTAATACATACTTAACACATATTACTTGTGTTGAGGGGAAGCTCCCATTTGCACTAATTGGAGGTTTCTCCTCCCAAAGCAAATGGCAAACATGCTTCCCCAATAGCAGACATGAATATGGACTACAGCCAGCTGGAGTGGGGTGGGGAGAGAGGTAAGGAACTTCATTTTTTAAAAAAAATTAATATATCTGTCTATCTGTCTTTCTGTTTGGGTAAAACAAGGAGGGTATCTGTGAGTATGTGGACTTCGGCCCACAGGAAGGTCATCTTTGTCACCATCCCAGGCAAAGGATGTCCCCAGAAGAGAATGGCAAATCACTTTGGACTATTCTCTGTCTTGAAAACCTTGAAAAGGAATGCTATAAGTCAGAATTGACTTGATGGAACTTGGTTGTTACACATGAATATTGGCTTACAAAACAAACAAGCTTTCAATTATTACAGTGCTCTTCAACAGATGAGATAGTAAAAGGTTTGGGAGGAAAAAAGAAAGATGGAAGCTTGCATACTTGTGAATTTATAGTTGCTCCTAATACAGGCTTTGCCCAACTATGTATTTAGTTTTGTTTCTTGGATCAGTACAGTCCACTTTTTTTTAATGAGCACGTCTACAGGTATAATGGTGTATGGGAGAGCTGCATGGGATGTTCCACCTGTGTGTCAGGGCTTCCAACAAACAGCTCTCAGGCCAGTGGTTCTTCATAATATGATTCTGTCCTGGGGCTCATTCTACACTCTTTGTTTCTACAGAATATACAAACTGTGTACAACTGCACTTATAAGACTGTTCCTTCAGTTCTGCTTAGTGGAAACCAAGGTTTAAACAGCATGTAATGCTTTTGTGATCACAGGTGGTTGATATTTTTCAAGGTAGTAGAATAATTATATTCACTGGTTTTATCTCAGGAATGTACACACAACTTTTGCATATTTGTTTTAAATATCTCTTAATCTTTGGGTGCTGGCAGCTTAAGTGTTATTTATGCAATTATCAGTGAGAGCGAGGTTTGTTTTGGTACACTTTCTGCACCTTTTCTTATTTGCTTTATACATATGCTGTCTGCTTGCACTGATATGTACGTAGATCCTTCCCTGTTTTCAAAGTCTAAGCAGCCTAATGGTTGTTCACAGCACTGAATTTTACTTTGCCATAATTTGTAGCAATTAAAATTAATTAGAAGTATAGGTGAAGGAAATGCAACCTTATGTTAGTTTCCTTGTATGCCAAGAAATACTAGTCTGCATAAATCTCTTTCTTTGTGAGACTTTTTTCACAAGCGCAATCAAGAACTCTAGGTTGCAGGAGATAACTTTTTGTAGGGATATTTATTATTTATTTTAGCAGACTGGATCAGATCAGTGCTGAGGTTATGACTACTAAACAGAAGCAACTGCAACAGAATTGTGTAATTAGGTTAAAGCAATTTACACTTATTGCTTTAGAAAACCCATTCAGGGACAGTATAGGGAGCAAGAACTCCAAAATTGAACACAGAAGTCCCTAAATGCTTACTTCTATTCATGGAGGTATGGTGATATCTGTCTTTGAGGAGAGAACCCACATGTTACTCTCCCCACGCCCTGGTTCAAATTACTTGTCAAATGTGCTGGCGTGCTGACTTCCAGCAATATAACATCTGGACTGGAAGTGTCCTGGTGAGGGACATACATTTTCCATGTGTCTTGAGAGTTGCAAGGTAGCTTTGAGGTTATATGACAATTTAAACAGAACATATAGTCCTGCCTTCCAACAGAAGAGAACAGCTAAGGGGCTGCACTGTGCATGGGACAATTGTCTCACTCTTTCTAATAGTGGGACAGCTCTCATAAACATCTTGAGGAATTTAAAATGGAAACATCAGAGCTTGGAAAAAATTTTTGGACTACAACTTCTGGAATTTCTCGGTCACTATGATCAGCAGTTCTGAGAGTTTAGAAGTTTTGAGAGCTATAATCTAAAAAGTGACTTTTGCAAATTCTGGTTGTCTGATGGAGGAGTTAAGCTGTGCAGTCACCTATATATGGCCAATGTATTTGTATATGAATATGAATATTACAAAATGCCAACAAGCCTCTTACGACTTCTTTCCAAAGGGAACTAAACCGAGGATTTATGCAGTGCCTCTGTAACTTCTTACCAAATGGAACAGAAGGGTGTATGTACCCGTATGAACTACTAAGCACAAAATAATTTTGTTGCTATTAGGTCACAGTTTACTTGAGACCAACTTGCATAAGTTGCCAACTTTGCTATGCAAAGTAATTGTTACTTCTTAATACTGTACAGAGTTCTGTGTGGTTCAGAAGCTTGCAGCCTTTCTTATCAGTGTATGTTTGCAAAATAATATTCAAATTTCAACCTGTCACTAGCACAAGAGCAAATAGCTACACCAGCACTTGTTTCCTTTTTTTCATTAGTCTATGTAAACCTGTCCTATTGTTTCATTATTGGAGCAACTTTCAGCTGCTTCACAGACACAGACTCGTGTTTTGCTATGGATTCTCCTACTGCAAATCAGGGCTGGACAAACTGTGGCCTCTGGATATTTTCAGATTGCAACTCTCATCACTTTTAGCCTACAGCCCAACAACATATGAAGGGCCCTGCTGTGCCCACTTCTGCTCTGGATATCAGTGGGAGTGTGGCATAAAGAATAAGAAGCATGTGGACTGGGAAAGAGTCTTTTTCTGGATGCTGTGCACTCTCTGAAAATTGTATTCCAATATTTCTCAAAGTGTTGCGATAGATACTGAGCAAAAAAAGTGGTGTGTAGAGGAAAGAGTGTTGGATAAAGACACAAGGAGGCCTGGGTTTGCACCTCAACTCAGCCTGGAAAACCTGTGGGGGAGGGATGGAATTGATACAACCACTCTTTCAATATCTCATTTACTTTAAAAGCTCTATTAAGGTTGCTCTAAGTCAGATGTGGCCCATAATAGACATACAAATATACACTGAGCATAACTGTAACTTCAATTACATCCCCTCTGAAATCTGTGCCACCATATCTGTGTTCTCAACAGCGCTGAGGTCGCCACAGTTAAGCGAGAAGTCTGAGTGAAAGCATGCTCTGTTTTGAAAAGGAGGCGAGGTAAAGCCCACTGTGGTTACTCTGTTTTGTAAAACCACAACATAGGATGCCCCCGTCTACACAGCTCATCGCTCCTTCGTGGTTAACACGTCCCACACCCTCTGGGTGGTCGCAATGACCACATAGGCGGGGTATAAATGGAATAAATAAATAAATAAATGGGGTGCAATCCCTGAATTAGGGGACCTCGGGTAACCCTGAAGCCCCGTACGCCCGGCATTCCCTCAGCGGTCCTTAAATCGAATGGCGCTAAACTCAGGAGCCTTCGAAGAATAGCTGCGGGCTAAGAGTTCAGCCCGAGTTTGACCGGGGCTCAAGTGTGTGTGTGGGTTCCTGGAAGGACTTCGCGCGCGCGAAGTGTGTTTGTGTGTGTGTGTATGTGTGTGTGTGTGAGCGAGAGAGAAACGTGACTGGACTGGCTAAAGATCCCTCGCCCTTTTTGCTGCCAGAGTCAAGTGCCCGTTTCTCCAGAGGAATTTCCTTTTCCCATCCCACTCTTGTGGTCTCTCCAGACTCACATTCCGCGCCTCTGATTGCTAGCTGGGCGCTCCAGGTACCTCCCCCTTTCGCCTTTTGTTTTAGCGTCTGGCATGAGCCCAGTTTCCTGTTGATACCGGAATATTGTGAATGGGCAGGAAAACGCCACCTTCCTCTACTTCCCTTTCTTTCTTTCTTTCTTTCTTTCTTTCTTTCTTTCTTTCTTTCTTTCTTTCTTTCTTTCTTTCCCTCCATCGCTGGATTTGCCCTTCCGCTCCTCCTCCTTTTCTCCTGCCATTCTCCGGCGCGATTCTGGGGAAGGGGGAGAGAAGGAAGGAAGGCCTTCTTGGGAGCCTCCCCGGAGCGCTGTTTTGAACTGGAGAGGGAGGGAGGGAGGGAGCGGAAGGGAAAGGAAAGCAAAAGTGGCCGCCTGGAAGCGGGGATCCTTGGCAGCCCGGCTGCGTGCAGGCAGCGTGAGGCGCAGGTGCAGGCGGAGGGGGGCTCGAGAGATAATGGAGGAGACCCATGCCTGAGCGCTTTCTTTGTCCGGGTCGCCCATGGCTGAAGCCCGGAGGCTGGAGGAAGACGAGGAGGAGCTGAAGGAGCTCGGCAGAAGGCACAGGAGAGCCAACCTGAACCCCGCAACAGGTAAGCGGCGGAGGCTGCGGGCGCCGAGCCGAGCCCGGACCGGCGGGGCTTGAAGAGGAGCGGGCTTCGGAAACCCAGGGCACAGTTTCTAATGGGGAGGAGTGGATGAGGAAGGAGGGCCATGTGCCCGGGGAGAGAAGCTGAACGCCAGTATAATCAATATGTTAGCCTTCTCTGGAAGCACAGTTCAGATCAGGGTCACAAGAGCATTTTCTTTTGTGTTTGTCTTAGGGCTTGAGATTTTTAAATGTTCTGGTTTTCGCTCCAGAAAGCGATTTTTTAATAAAAGTGTGTGGTTAGTCGCGTTCCGGATTATGGCTTTGAAATATAGCGAGACAAAGGAATGTGAGGATATCTCACAGGGCAGAGATGATTTTGAAAAGTTACTTTTTTTGGACTGCAGGTCCAAGTTGGCCAGGTTACTGTCTTGGCAGGAAGTTTCCCCATCTGGGCAACAGGGTATAATCAAACACCTCCCCATCTGGTATTTAAACACATCACATGCTTCACATTTAGATATGTTTCTAAACACAGATTTAATTTCCTTGGCGCTCACATTATGTGGGGTGCAAATGACAGAATGCTGATGTCATGTATGGCAGTGTCATGTATTTCCCGGCACCCAGATCCAGTCAAGCCATTGGTTGTTGTGGCTTGTTATTTTATTCCACTTAATGTATTTCTGAATCACTCTTCTACTGAGTGGAGCGTCATGCAAACAACAAAAGGAAAACAGTTCCAAACAAGAAAAAAAATGGAAACAATACCGTTAAAATAAATACTTCCAAAAAAGAGAATACAAACTTCTAAAATCAGCAACTGTTGGAAAGCTTGGAGGCATAATCTCGTTTCTAATCAAACCATGAAAAGTTTATTTTCTAAACTAAAACACAAAGACTCCCCAGTCAGCAACCATACTTGCTGGGGAATTCTGGGAGTAAAAGTAACTTTTCTAAGCTCAAGTGTCTACAAAGTAATATGCTGAAGATTAATCAGTGAGTATCTAACCTAACTTCCCTTGGAAGCAAAATTCACAGCTGGGGCACTGCTGCATAGAAAAGGATGTTCCACTTTAGCTGTGTTCTGTTTATGTGCCCTTTGGGAGTGTGAGTATTACCCATTCACTGCAATCCCTGGAAATCTTGTGGGCTTTCTGTCACTTTCTGTCGCTGATTTGTAGACGTACAGGAGACTAGCAGATGGAGTCTTAGACCTCTGGTCCTTTGTTTTGGTTATGTGGTGATATCTGAACTGAACATTAAAGAGGGAAAAAATTCTGCTACATTTTGTTGGCAGAATGTTCTGGAAGTGTATTGTGCTTTATCTCATGGTGTGACTCAGAAGATACCTTCCCTTATATATGGTTCAGTGCCAGGTGCCAGGATTAAATTCCAACCTGCTTTGTCTTCCTGGGTGAGGTGAGTGCTGCACCTGAGCTACAGGTTCTTAGAATCCAAGTTTACATAAGGTTTATAATCTGTGATGAATTTGCGTTTTGTTATTAAAATGACTAAACATATCACTATTTCACCCTCTTTTCATAGCTTTGTATTTTAAAACAATGAAAAATCTATATAAAATCAGAACTTCCTCTGAAATACCTTTTTGTGTTTGTAGGTGGTGCCAAGTTTTGTCTTGGCATTTCCTGGTAGGCCTGATTTGAAATCCTTGATAGTTCCTGCCAGTTAGTGTTATTGTGGGGTGAGTAAAGTACAGCTCTTCAGATATTGTTGGACTGCAGCTCCCAGCATTCCTCACTGGTGACTAGAACTGCTGAGAGTTTCAGTCCCAACAACTTCTGGAGGACCACACTTTGGGGTAGGGAGTTCTAATCTAAGTAGAATCATTGGTTGGGGTTGCATAAAATAGTTTCCACAGTCCCAGTGTAACATGGCATTAGTTCTGTCAAGAAATTCGTACAAGTAGAAGGGACACTGAAGGAAAACCCAAATTTCAACTTGTGATGCTTCAGGCTTTATCCAGTGTTGACTTTGGACTGCCAGCTTTGCTAACTTTCCTGAATTATCAGCGGTTTCTATGTTTACACAGCAGAAGATTATTCTGTGCCCCAAAGTGTTTGTTTTCTTTCTTCAGCTCTTTGGCTGGGAGCTTATTTTTTTGAAAAGCCTCACTGATAAACGACACATTTGTGCATTCCCATCATTGTAAAACAGTGTAATCTCACACACACTCTTCCTACAGATTTTCAGACTCGCAACTCTTTTGCAAAGGGAATGGCAGATTTCTCCAACAACCCACTCTTGTCATTAAGCGACTGCAAGATTTCTTGGAAATATTTTGAGTGGTAGGTGGAATACCACTGAATAGTAGAGAAATTTTTCTTATGCTTTTCAGAGTCAACCTAAGATATTTTGCTGTCTGAGCCACAGACTGTTCCACATGCAGAAGCAACTAGATTAGAAATTAAATCTTATTTCAACACTGGGGATATGAAGTCTGTTTTCCAGTGGACATAAGGGCAGCAAATTAAGTTCAGAGCTGACTTCATTGCCGTGAGGTGCCCTGCTCCAGGCTCTACTGCCTCACTCTGCTAGTAGGGCCACACCTGCTGTTGCTGCTTAATTATATGCACAATTGCATTTCAGGCATTTGATTTATGTTGTTTTGTTCACATTGTACTCCCTCAGTGTGAAGAACTCAGGTTATACATGGTATTTCAGGCTGTTTCCAATCCCACCAGTTTATAAGACCAGACCTTCTTCCTTTCAGCAGTAGAGCTAAGTTTCCTATCAGCCATTATCTGGGTTATTAGTTTTGCCTCCCTGAATAAAAGGAAACTCATCAAATCTCAGGTGTTTGAGTAAGAAACATAAACTACAGGCACGTCCCTCATGACAGTCTGAGATCACATTTTGACTGATGAGTCTCCATAAAATACAAATCTAATCCACTGGCTTGTACAACCCACTAATAGAATTGTCAAGTTTCATTGTTATGAATGAGGGCTGCACAAGATCATATGTGCTCATCTGTAGCCCCAGTCCTAGACCTGCTTTATCATCACAGCAAGTGTTGGTCGCCCTGTATAGGGAATGTTTGTGTAACATGACAACTGGGGTCCATATGAATCCTGGCTTCTCATAAAGGTGCAGCATGCTGGGTGCTTCATTCCACAGCTAGTTTATTATGTTGGCTAGCAGTGGGATCAGAGGAAACAAACCCTTTCTCTGGTTTGTTCCCTCTCCTCAAATGAAGGAAAGAAACACAGTCAAATATTGAATTCTCTCTCTGATTTATTGGGAAGGAGTGACCTAGAGACAGGAGAATGACTACTGCCAGGAGACTCATAAGACTAACAGTGGAGCAAGAATGACTGCAAGTGGGAGCAATTAAGTAGCATGCATACCAGGGCTATGCTGTTTCATGACAATCCTAGATTCCTTGTTTTGTTGCACAAATGCATCCATAATACATTATTAAGTATCAGGAGATCTGCAACTCACACCATTGCTACCAGCAAATCAAGAGGCAGCTGGCAAGGAAGCAGAACACAGACAAGTGCCACAGATTTATCTAAAACAGCGAGATGTCTGTAGCTGCCTGTAGCTGCACATCCTGTGCAGATGTTTCAGATGGGTTTTGGCTGATTAATTTGGACTATTAGCTGCACAACTCTGTGTAGATTTGTTACCTACATGGCTAGTACTATAAGTATGCTTAAGACAATAATGCTGGCAAAAAAGGCAAGCAGCAGGAGAAGAGGACTGAGATGGATTGACTCAATAAAGAAAGAGATGAATTGACTCAATAAAGAAAGGCACAGCCTTGAGTTTGCAAGAACTGTGCAAGGTTGTAACTCACAGTACCTTTTGTAGATCACAAATGCATAGGGTTGCCATAAGGCGGAAGAGATAAGTGCACATAACAATATAAACATGTTTAGTAAGAAGTAAGTCCCACGGAACTTTGTGTGATTTATTTTTGAGTAAAAATGCTTTGAATCATACTGTGAATCTGTCATTACATCTGCTGCTTGAAATACTAACTAGGTCTACTTTTGTTATTGTGGTGACCATGAATGTTGCAAATTGGGAACTTGCTGTAGGGATAATCTTGCACATTATTTTGTTTTTCAACTGCTGGTCTTTATAAATTAACTTTTCTTTTTCATGCATCTGTCTCTTTTCTGTAAATCAGTTTCGCAAGGATTAGAAAGCTGACAAAATATGTGTGGCTCGCTATTTGTGCCTAATTTTCTCTAAAGCAACATCTAGCTCACAGCAGCTTTATTTCTTCTTCACTCCCACATTAAACTCATGCTGATTTGTTATTGGTATTTAAAATGCTAGCTGGATTTAGAACAGCAAAACAAGGTTGCATTAACTCTCTAGTCAAAATACTATCAGGATGAACTATGGGCTGAAGGTGCATTGATGGAATTCGAATAGAGTTACAGTATAACAATTTTTACACACACACACACACACACACACACACACACACACACACCAGCTTCTTTGTACTAAGCTACCCTGTGTTATAACTAACTTCTCAATAAACAATTGTTTGGAATCACTTATGCCTATTTCTTTAAAATATACTTGGTCCATAATATTTGAACTGAAGGTAACTTTTAGTAAAGAGCATGCAGCACAGTACTGCTTTGTTATTTTCCATGTGATTTACTGTTCTGATAAATATGCTGATAAGTTATGACTCATATAATGTCCAATTTTGCATGCTTGCTCACATTCCTGTATGCACTTAAGTGCCATAGAAATCTGTGTGGCATACTGCTGACTAAAGGAGAGAAGACCTGGAAGTAACTTCTTGCCACCTCCAGTTTCATGGGGAGAATGGGGCATCCAGGATCCTCCAAAGTTGGCCATTTCTGGTCTACAAATATAAATAGTTGGTGGATCGCCATGAAATAAACATTGGCTGGCCATCAAAGCTGATGGGTTACACAGTGTTTCTCTGTCCACTTATATTTAGAAGTAAGTGCAGCTGTGTTCTATGGGGCTTTTCGCTAGTAGAGG